CGTAAAAGAACGACAAAGCTAGTTATTCCTCGCCCTGTCTTTTCGAGGAACAGCTCCGAAGAGATAACTTCAGTTCGTTTGGGAAGAAAATTACTGCGGCTTACCACTTTATCTCCCAAATTTCGCACACGGCATGGCAGGTACACGGTTTGTCCGACGAATGCGCTGACGTTCGCCGCTGTCGGCTCAAAAACGGGTAAATCCCCTTCGGCTGAGTCATTATTGGCGTCGTTTGGTCGCCTCTCCGGGCCCTCCTTCGATATTTCGCGAAGTTGTACAGGCGCTGAAAGCAAAGCAAATTGATTCGGTTGAATCGAAAATATTCTCCCGTATTTGTAAATTGGGCTGTTGGAAACTTCGTTAATCGATGCATCTAAATTATCTTTCCTGGAATATGAAAAAGAAGAAGAAGAAGAAGAAGGAAAAGAGAGAGAAAAAGAAAGAAGGAAGAAACACGCTATTGACCGAGGATTAAGCAGAATTTTTACCAAGATCCATTATTCTCGTAGTTTTTACCAACTAGCTCAGCTTCTTCCTTTTTCCGCGTACGAAGGAATTTTCTAAAAGAAACTCGTCTTCTTTGAAATCTTCCCCTCCAACAAGAGGAAAGGAGGAAATTTCTCGCGAAATTTCTAACAGAGTCGTGGAATTTCTCCTCGATATTCGAACGAAAGATAAAAGGAAAAGAATCACGCCGATCTTGTTTGCTCATTAAACGTTTCTGCGGATTAATCTCCCTGAGTTAACATCTCTGGAACAAGTCTTCGATAGTCCTCTCCCGCCTCCCTTCCTTTGTTCCTCTGTTCGCCAATTTCTTTCTCGCTTATTTCTCGAGATTTATTTTCTTCGAGATGGACGTGTCCGGACACGTGTTCCATCCCGTAATCCTTCGGAATTTCGTCGAGCGAAATTCGAGCGCGTTGGAACAGCCGCGAGGGTCTATTTGGGATGGTGGTGGTATCCTCGTTAGTATACCTACTACTAACAGTCTCTCCCCGTCATCATCAATCATCATCAAAAACTGCGCGGAACGATATCTATTCACGATTGACATGGATTAATTCCGGAGGAAAGTTGGGAATAAAAGCTCGGTTAGTCGCGACTTTGCGCTACACGCGAACCAGGAAAGAGAAAACAACGTCCTTTTATTTCCAAACCTTTTGAATTGGGGGGAGGAGAGATGGTACCGAGAAAATATCGTTCGACTTCCCTCGAAATATTCGAAAATTCGTTTGCACGGATATTCCAAGAATTTCCCGCGGAACAATGGAAGAGATTTTGAATAGCATCCATTTATTATTTCCCCCAAATAAAAAACGGAAATCTCATCATAGTTTTAATCATCTTTCGCGGAATGAGTCGTCGAATGAGTTCGAAGTGAGAGAAGAATCGTCGGATTTTGGAAATTGACAAAAGAAGAAAAGAGAGAAGGGAGTAAATAACTAGGTGATAAGGAAAAACGAGGATGCTGCATTCTCTTCGCTCTCTCTCTCTCTCTCTCTCCTCTCTCTCTCTCTCCCCCCTGCGCCCTCCTCCCTCTTTTACAACCTTCGAATCGCGGCCACGGGGTTCTTTTTTTCCCCTCCGAAAACACGCCCGAATAAATTTAATTGGACGGGAGCCGAGCACTCGTAGCTTGATACGAGAAGAAAAGAGAGGAAGAGGCGTCACGATGCTCGAGGTGCAAAAGTGCAATCGAATTATCAAACGAAGCCAACCAGAACGAGCCGCTGACATCGTAACTCGGTGTGCTGACCGTTTCGCATAAACAACGTTTCCTGGCCAAACATAGAGCGATATCCTCTTTCCACCGTGTGCAACCCCTTCCACCTCTCTCTCTCTCTCTGTCACTCCATCGTTTTGAGGTCTCACGTTAACGTGTCACGGGTCGTTCTTCCCCAGAGAGGTGAAGCTCAGAGTACAGATAACGCCCGTATACACAGCGGCACGCTGGCGTCATACAAATGACCAACTTCCCCTCGACTGGGTTGCAACGTCGCTCGTATCCATCCCATCCGACCCACTGATAACTGCAGATTAATTGACAAAAAGCAGAGACCGCGAATACGGATGATGTACACGGGCCGAAAATCGTCGTCGTGCACCGGCGGGATTTAGTTACACGTCGACCTTTACCTCTTTATTTCACGTTGCCCCTGGTATGGTGGTAGTAAATGGGGTTGGGATCGAACCGTGTGACGAATTTATAGGCATATAGGAGGGGGAAGGGGAGAGAGGAGAGGTCGAGAGTCGAGTGTTGACAGACTGGAGTCAAAGGGGTGGTGAATGGGGAAGAAAAAAAAAAAAAAAAAAGGTTAACGGATTCCGGGTTGGTGAGAATTTATGCCTTTGCATAACCGACACCTGCTACCTAAAGAATTAATGAATTTAAAGGAGAGATAACTTTATACTTTTATGGTGGTGGTGGAAATTATATAATATGTTAAAAAAAAGAAAGAAAAGAACGCGAAATACGCGAAATATGCGTTTTTTTGCGCAATGAACAAATTTCACAACGAACCGTGTGTACAACACATGCATCAAAAGAAGTTTTTGCAGTACGATATTTTTTTCCTTGGTGCTTATATAAAGTCGTTCGTATTATCTGACGCGTTTATTGTTGCATTTTATATTCTTCCATCCGCGCACTATCCGAACACTTTTATGGGGTACTGCGTGTAATGCATTTCGCGTTCCCCCCCTCCTCCCCCCTTTTCTTTTTTTAACGTAATTTCCAGATAATATTTTATTCGACAATTCCGTTCTTATTTACTTTTTCATGTCTGTGTCCGAGTTAAACCATATATAAAAATAACACGATTTATTCATACGCTTCTCCCTGAAAAATTTACACACTGTTTAAACAGTTGAAGCGACTCCATCAAACTTCTGTCTGAAATCTAAATATTTAACGAAGATATTGAAACAAGGGATAAAATAATTCGGATTTTATTCCTCCCACCCATTAATGGAACGTGGGAGGGAAAAGAAACGCAACATCAATGTTAGATGTTGAAATCGAAATCCGATTATTGAATATATCCCGGCTATACGCGGTTGTCGTCTTAATCAACGACCGTGAAAGAATCTTTCTGGAACGCGGACGGATGCGTCATACTTTTTATCCCGGCCTGCATTAACGCGGTCGTTCACCGTCTGACCAATCGTCGTGCGTTTCTACTCGTCGTTCATTCTTCGTTCGACGAGGAAAAACGCTCGTACACGATTCATTCGCTCGCCACTACTCTCTTTCTTTTCCTCGTCCATCGACGTCGCTCTATAATATTATAAACCGCGCGCGCGGAAAAGGTTGTCGAGAGGCCGAGAACGTTCCCTTTCTGTCTTTTGCTCTCGGCCCTCCAGCTATTTTTCTTTGGACGATCGTCGGGATATTTTATGGTTGGCATCGAGGGAGCATCTTTTTTCTCATCTTCCTTTCTTTTCTTTTCTTTTCTTTTCTTTTTTTTTCTCTCCTTTGTCTCCTCCTCCACTCTCCGCTCCCCTCCTTTAAAGAAGTCATGCCGCGAGCGGAATAACTCGCTCGGACGTACGTCAATTCCGATTTCCATCGATTGGCCAAAGCTCGGCCAGACGAATTGTATCGCGTACAGATCATTCGATTCTTCGTTCGTTCCACTCTTATTTGGTCGATAATTGGAAAATAATTGACGCCACGTTCGTGAAAATCGTGAAATGAAAGTTTTCATATAGTATTCTTGAAAATATTTCATCGTATTAGCATTAGGAGGTGGGACGAACTTGCTAGGAATTAGGATGATAGATTATTTGGTTTATTAATTAAGCGTCAAGAGCAGGATGCAGGAGCGACGACTTAATTTATCCTCCAACTTTTTCACGGAGATTTCGATCTCTTGTCGAACGATACGAAGGTAACTCAAGGACACAAATTTAAAACTTCTTTTTATTATAGAAAGGTGTCGGCTTAGAATTCCGTCCAAGAGTAAAAAGACAAAATTCCCGCTTTTCTTTCATTCGATTTTATATTCTTAAATTCTTAGTTCGTACATTGTGCTTAAGGAAAGGAAAAGAGAATAACGCCTCAACAGTAGACGACAAAGGTTGTCTCTGCGAAAAAGAAAAAAGAAAGAAAAGAAAAGGAGAAGGGATTCTGGTCGCAACGTAAGGAAACCGATAAAAGGAGGAGGCGGCTGGTGAATTTCCTTTCCGGTGTGTTCTCGATAAGCAGAGCTGCGACGTGGAATACAAATATCGAGTGGAGCGGCAAGGACGCAGTATGTACGCCGGCATTAAAGCGAATTACTACGTGCTAAATCTCGCAGCGTTACGCTATCTTTCCTAGGCACTCGACTCACCTCCATTACGACCGTGGCTTTTTTCACCGGCAAACGACACTTTTATTTCCCCAAAAGCATTATCCCGTTTTTCCCTCTTTGTACCCCGGATTCTACGCTCCTCGTTCCTCGCGATTACGTTTCCTCCTCCTCGCTCCCAGGCCTTGGAGAACGCGTGTCGTTTGCGTAAAGCGATGACGAACGACTTCTAAATCCTCCTCCTCTTGGGGGGAGGGGAGTTAAACGAAGGAGGATTATAGGGATCGTTTATCGCGGTGGTAAGAAACTTTTTTATCCGTAGACGCGGCGGAGATTGGAATATTTCTCAACCGTCCCCTTCCAGTCTCGGTCCTCGAGTATTAATTCTAACCTTAAATCTAAATGGAAATGTTTTTTTTTTTTTGTGTAGGAATCGTTGAAAATACGCTTATAAGAATAAGATTGGAGAAACAGGGTTAACCGCATCCACTTCGAAGGGAACTTTATACACACTTTTATCGCCTCGATCGTTCCCTGCATCGGTTATTTAAGACCCTCTCTCGCCTCGTTTAATCCCATTCTCGCGGATCAACTTTCCCGGCTTTCTCGCGTCTCGTGAATCTCGTGAATCGGAGAAGAAGCGGTCGAAAAGGCGGCGGGGATATCGGTTGGCCGAAGGACGGACGGACAGAAGGGCGAAGAGGAGAGAGGCGGCAGTTGGCGGCTATAAAACTACAAAGCAAACCAGCCGTTAATCTTACGACTGGCTTGAATCGTGCGGCGGTCTACCGCTCTTAAACCAAACCAACCCTCCCTCCCCCCTCCTCACGCCCTCATCGTCGGTCTACGTTCCGCCGCTCGAAACAATGAGGACGAAACTTTACGGTCGCGCTAGGCCACCGGGAGAATCATATATTTTCGCCGCAATGCTCGTAAAGTGCGGTCGCTCTTGCCTCAGTCGGCACATCGTCCAGTTGCGTGCGTGCGCGCC